AAATTTTTTTAGCAGTGGTCTTGTATTGTGCCCATGGCTCCCTTGCTTTTTTTTTTTTTTTCTTCAACAAGTCGGCCGTTTCCCACCGAGGCAGGGTGACCCAAAAAAAAAGAAAGAAAATCCCCAAAAAGAAAATACTTTCATCATCATTCAACACTTTCACTTTTTATTGAGTTTATTTGACACTACCTTCCATATCTCTCACTCTAGTACATTGTTAGGATATTGTGTAGATTTGGGACTAGGGCCTCCAGTGTCTTTCATGAACACGGTTAAATATAGTAGTTGTAAATTTCTTCATTACTACAGTATACAGCAGAGGCTTAAAGCTATCTTATATCCATAGAGAGGGTTTTAGTGCTAATGCTTCCATACTTCACAATATAAGAATTGTTATTTTGCAATTACCTTCATACAGGCTAGTACTGCTAGTCATACATGGTCTTATACTGTATTTTTACAAAATATAATTATTGTATGTGGCCCAAGAGGTATACCTGGAAGGTGTTCTGGGGGTCAAGGCTCTGCTGTCCGGTCCATGACTATAGAACTTATGTGTGTGTCGCTCAAGATGTTGAAGCTATAGGGCCACTCAGAGTAAAGTGATGGATGATAGAAGTATTTAACCCTTTCAGGGTTTTTGACGTACTAGTATGGCTTACGCACCAGGGTTATTGACGTACTAGAACGCCTAAATTCTAGCGCCTTCAAATCTAGCGAGAGAAAGCTGGTAGGCCTATATATGAAAGAATGGGTCTGTGTGGTCAGCGTGCGCAGTATAAAAAAAAATCCTGCAGCACACAGTGCATAATGAGAAAAAAAAAACTTTGACCATGTTTTTGGATTAAAACAGCGACTTTGCACAGTATTTTCGTATGGTATTTATTGTTGTATTCTAGTTTTCCTGATCTCATTTTATAGAATGGAAGACATATTACAGAAATTAAGATAATTTTGATTGGTTTCACAATGAAAAGTACCTTGAAATTGAGCTCAAAGTAGCAGAAATGTTCAATTTTTACCAAAGTTTAAAAGTAAACAAATCATGCCAAGTGTCCAATACACGTCAACTGGCGAGTCTAATATTCTTTCACAAGTGCGCTGATATTATTTATACCATTTCTACACTAATGCAGGAGTCTGCATAACAGTAAATCTTCTATTTTTGTGAGAATAAAAGTTCAAAGTGGAAAGCAAAAGAAATATAAGAGGGGCCTAGGGACATGACTAACGAACAGAGAACTTGTTATTTTAGTGCCAGGAATGTCTGTCTGGTTTATTCTGGACCCTATTTGGAAATTGGCTTCTTCTGAAATTGTAGACAGCCTGTACTGTCTGCACAGACAGCCCATGCTGTCTGCCAGCTTAGTTCATATTTCGCGCCACTCAGGTGCTGCCATCTATAGGCCTTGCCACTTCAGTATGCCCAGACTTGCCTCGCCCTCACTCACACAGCGGCCTGGCTTCAACACACAAGTACTCTCATCTCTCTCTCGCGGGCATGGCCCTGCCCGGGCCATGGGCACAAACACACAAGCCTGTGTAACCCACCACTACTTAACAATAAACTAAGAAGCCTCCGAAGAAGTATATCATTTAACTACCCGCTCTACAGCTACCAAACAAGCCCTTTATATTGGTACCAGCGGTGGTCGCAGCGTTGTGTTTACCCTGGAGAGAGGAAGGAGAGGTATGAAGTCACCTTCACTTCATCACCCTACATAAGAAGCATCCGTCTCTCAACGAGTTATCCTGATGTCGTGTCTGCACTCGTTTGAGCATCCAGACACAGGTACAAGCAGGATCCAGCCGAAATTTATCGAAATTCTACGAGAATTGTATGTGGCGTCCCAGTGACCCCACGCTGTTTCTCAAGTCACGTGTTCAGCGTCACTTGTTGTTGCTGTTGTTCAGCTTAGCACAGCTGTTTCAGCGAGCAGAGGTGAGTTTTGTGGTGATTTCTGCGTCCAGTGTGCGTTTCGCCGTGTTTTGGGTTTGAGAGGAGGAAGTTGCCAGATCCTCCCTCGCCGTACACTCACCACGCTCCTCGCCACCACACTACCATACACCACCACGCCATCTCCCTCTGCTGTGTTTTCTGCTGTTTTTCGTATGAATTCATTGCCAGTGCTGTGTATCGAGTGCCCGAGGCCACTCGAAGCTACGTGGATTACGACGTCACGTGGGTGTGGCCGATGTCACGTAGACCTACAAAGCCACGTGAGTTACCAGATATCCCAGGCCACATGCTGTGGTCTGCTGCCCGCATCACATCGACGCCACCCACGATGCTGCCCGACTTCATGACGTCACGATGTCTGCTGACGTCACCTCACGATGTCTGCTGACGTACCTCGAGATGTCTGCTGACGTCACCTCACGATGTCTGCCTGACGTCACCTCGAGATGTCTGCTGACGTCACCTCACGATGTCTGCTGACGTCACCTCTCGATGTCTGCCTGACGTCACCTCACGTTGTCTGCTGACGTCACAGTGCTGCTGACGTCACCTTGCGACATCACGCCTGACATCACATGATGTCACATCGAGTGTTCTAGTAATTATTTCAGTATTGTCGAGAAGATTGAGAGAAAATTATGTGTGTGTTAATTAATTCCTCTCAGTCAGTGTTCTCACAATTTTAGTATGTCTTAGTCAGTTTTATGCGCAGAAAAGCATCATTTGCTAGTTAAGCCATGTTGTACCGTATGTTACAGCGGTGTGTTTTTAAGTTCGTGTGTCAGTGAGGTCTGTGGTCAGACCCTTGAGTTGTACCACTAAGTCACCCGTGACAGTGTGTTTGACAGCTGATTTCAGCCCTGAGCGTATGAGCCCCCTTGTACAGAAAGCTTTTATGCTCGTCGCTCGTGTTGTTCTGCAGAATCGTACCTGCTACGATTCCCATCGAGATTTGTTTCACTTCACCTCCAGACCTTCAGAGTGCAGTTATATGTAGAGAAAACAAGTCTGGGGACGCTTAGACTAACCTCTGCTATAACTCCACCTGTCGAGAGATGATACTCGTCAAGCCGCAGCCAGGCCTGTCGGCAGGCGCTGTGTCAGCCTCGTGTCACAAGCTTCAGTGAGCAGCCTGCACAAAGAAGATGTCACTTTGACTGCTAGCTCTCTCACTGCAGTCTGGTGTATGATGTTACGACTCCCAGATGTTTCGCACAGTCGTCTCTGCCACGACTCGCTCCACAACTCGCTCCACGCTCGCCGGCAGTGACAGCCCAGCGACAGTACCAGTCGAGGAGTGTCCTGAGTCGCTTGCCAGAAGTCCTGCCCAGTTGCCGAGTTTTGTCGACGCCTCACTCGAGGGCACCAGCATGTCGTGCCCAGGTTGAGTGAAACCTGCAGCGACTCCTACGATGTCTGCTTCACCGTTCCAGAGGAGGACCGTACCCTGTTACGTCACAGCTCAGCCGCAGCGATGTCTCCCGTGTTTGCAGTATCTGTCCAGACGCAGGAAGGCGTGCAGTGATGCACTTCGATGCTCACTGCCTATGACCACGATGTTTAGCACACCCCACATGTTTTTTCTTCCCTCCCTGTAGGAAGTTTTTTTTCCATGTCCATATGTATATATATGTTTTTATTTTGTGTTCTGTGGCCTGTTCCTACGAGAGAGAGACCGAGTTTCTTTTACTACCAGTATTGTCGCGTCGGGGACGACGCGCGGTAGGTGGCCGAGCGTATGTAGACAGCCTGTACTGTCTGCACAGACAGCCCATGCTGTCTGCCAGCTTAGTTCATATTTCGCGCCACTCAGGTGCTGCCATCTATAGGCCTTGCCACTTCAGTATGCCCAGACTTGCCTCGCCCTCACTCACACAGCGGCCTGGCTTCAACACACAAGTACTCTCATCTCTCTCTCGCGGGCATGGCCCTGCCCGGGCCATGGGCACAAACACACAAGCCTGTGTAACCCACCACTACTTAACAATAAACTAAGAAGCCTCCGAAGAAGTATATCATTTAACTACCCGCTCTACAGCTACCAAACAAGCCCTTTATAAAATTTGTGTGAAATTGGCAAAATTGTCAATTTCTAACCACTTTATTGAATAGTTGAAATTGGTAAATGGGTGGTTTTCTGTACTCATTCGATAGAAAAAATGGAGTTCTAGTGAAATAAATGTGATTTTTGTCGACTAGTACACAGGAATTGGCCGAAAATAGGGCTCAAAGTGGGTGAAATTGCCGATGCGTAAACATCGGTGAGACCGCTAACTTCGCGAGAGCATAATTCCATAAATTTTCCATCAAATTTCATACTTTTGGTGTAATTATGATCGGGAAGAGATTCTCTATCATTTCATAAGAATTTTTTTTTTTTTTTTTTTTCCGAAAAATTTTCGACCCTGAGAACAAATTTAGGAGAGGGCCTCTTGACCCTGAAAGAGTTAAACTTGGTAATAGTCAATTCTAGATGACAGATTTTACTGTGTTTATGACTTGTAATAGTAACTTTTTCCCATTCTGTTATTCCATTCTGCAAAGGTTCAGAGTATGTTTTAATAATTTTTATATAAATTTGTTTAGTAATTTATTATGATGTACTTTATTTTACCTTTTCAAAAAGTGCCAATAACAGAAAATAGTTAAATGTTTTGTATGTTGTTATTTATCATTCAATAATTTTACAGAGTCTTCGATACTGGACTATGATGGGAACTCCATTCCTGGTTTTTTATGTGATTGGCCTCATCTTGAAATTAAATCTTTATTACGTGCTGAAGCTGGGACTTTTCACAGCGTTATATATTGTAGTCTATGGAATCTCCAGAGTGCTGTTTGATGAGCGACTCATGACTGTTATGCCAATGGCAGTTTATCTAGCCACAAAGGTATGTTTAATACAATTTATCTGGCCACAGAAGTATGTTTAATATAGTTTATCTAACTACAAAGATATGTTTAATATAAAGTAGTCCCCCCGTATCCGCAGGGGATATGTTCCAAGACATACCGTGGATACCCGAAACCATGGATAGTAGCGAACCCTATATATGTCATTTTTCGTTTATGTATATTCCTGTGATAGAGTTGAATTGATAAATTATGCACAATAAGTGAAGAATTAACAGTTTTTTACTGATGGGAAGCACCTCACAGCTTCTCTTAGGATTTGAAGAACTGCCAGTATCACTACTTTTGCACTTTGGGGCCATTATTAAGCAAAATTAAGGGTTATTTTTGGGCCATGGTAAACCATGGATAACTGATATCATGGAAGCCGAATCTGTAGATATGGGTATTCTACTGTAGTTCTTTTAGTATTTGATGTTGCTTTTAGTATTACGTTATTGTTAATACAACTTTTTAAATTATACAAGAACAAAGAGATATATTACAAATTTTTTTCTAAGCAGATAATCCTAGATAAACACTGTATATCTAGAGATTGAAGGAAATACACAGTAGAGAACAGGCTCCCATATAGTCATACTGTTACTAGTCAATGGTCTTAGTCATGCTATGATGGTCAGTGGTCCAAGTTGGACCATTGACTAGTCACACTGTGACTAGTCAGTGGTCCAACTTAGACCAAAACATCATCATAAGGTTCTTTCTAGTGTGTGTGAGTTATTTGTATACTACTGTGATGGCTATAATACATTTGATAGCCTTGTTTCTGGTCGTGTCTGTAGGTGTCCCCCTCTGGTGTGACAACTGAACTTTTTTTTTTTTTTTTTTTTTTTTTTAAGCAAAATCCTTCCCACCAACAGTGTCTCTCTTCGAAGTCATTGGCAGTGGAGATATAAATAAGGATCTAAGGATAGCTCTTCAAGAAAGAACTTGAAATAATGGATTTAAATTAGAAAGGATATAGGAAAGTATTGGTTTGGAAATAGAGAAGTCGATGAGTGGGACAGTATGCCTAGTAGGGTCATTGAAGTTATAACCTTGGCTGGCTTCATATATTGGTTAGATAAATACTTGAATCTTACTAAATTTAAAAACAAAACCTTTCGTTTTTCAAGTTGCCATGTCTCGGTGGGATACGGCTGGTTCATTGAAAAAAAAAATACTTGAGTGAGAGGAGCTTGGATTTGAGTGGGACTTTCACATAAGTTAACAGGGTTATCAAAGCTTATTTCTTGAATAGCGCTGAAAAAGGGCTGGGTAAATATTTTTGTTACTTTGGTGTTTGAGGTGAACCTGTCTGGCATGGACTAGTAGACCTGCTGCAGTGTTTTCCTTTCTTATGCTCTTATGATTGTCACTCTTAACTTGTAATTGTTGTTACTCTAAACTTAGGACATAAGTGATTTCCACACGAAACATTATTGTGTGTGCAATATAAAAGTGCCCCAAGTGACCCACTGTATGTCGTATTTCAGTTTTGGTGTTATGTTACTTGGGTTTTGTACATTCATGAGTACTCTGGACTTAAAGCAACAGCATTCTTCTTTATATCTTCACTGCTTCTATGGTACAACTTCATGAGAGCCTGGAGAGGAGATCCAGGGGTCATCACAGCAGACCAGGCCCAAAAATATCAGGTAGGTCTTCATGGAATTGTGAAAGTTACTTTGGTGTGAAATTTGTGATCAGGCAGAAAGGAAAGAGCATTAATGAAAGATATGAGAGAAAAGGTATGATTTATTAGGAGAGAATGGGAAATGTGTGCTAAATGAGGGAGGGAGATGGTGAACAGGAAAGGAAAGTAGTAAATTAGGGAGGAATGCAGTGAATGAGGAAGAGACAGCAAATGAGGGAGGCAGACAGTGAATGATGGAGGGAGTCAGTGAATTATGATAACAGTGAATGAAGGATGGAGGTGATGAATGAGGGAGGTATACAGTGAATGATGGAAGGGGGCAATGAATGAGTACCTTGAGGCCTTTCACTCTGGGCAACAGATGGCAGTACCTGATAAACTGCAGTTGTATCTCTTAGTCTATGAGGCAGCTTAGCAAAGTACTGGATGTTCAAAATGGTTTTTTGACAGTCAGAATGAAATTTGACTTCTGCAATCAGACACACACTTGCAGACATGCACTCACATGCACACACACAAAAAAAACACCCACCTATTGATTCTTTATTGCAACCTACATGTTGAAAGTATTAAAATGTTTTTAAATGTGCCAACTTAGAAAATTTTGTCTTGTTTCTGCAGTGATGCCTTTCTTTCCCTTTCCTGAACAAGATTATACGAGTTTAAACATTAATATTCAATATGGTTCTATTTCAGACCATAATTGAGTTAGCAGAAAGAGATGGATTTGATCCTCAGTGGTTTTGTTCTACATGCTTGGTGCGACGTCCAATACGCTCCAAGCACTGTTCCGTCTGCAACAGATGTATTGCTAAATTTGACCATCATTGTCCTTGGGTTGGAAACTGTATAGGTAAGAATATTACATTGTGCTTAAAATTGTTAATGTATTCTGTTCAGTGGAGGTTTTAACCAATTGAAACGAAAGACTTGTATGTCCTAGGTAGTAGGTTGGTAGACAGCAACCGCTCAGGGAGGTACTACTGTCCTGCCAAATGAGTGTAAAACGAAAGCCTGTAATTGTTTTACATGATGGTAGGATTGCTGGTGACCTTTTTTCTGTCTCATAAACATGCAAGATTTCAGGTACGTCTTGCTACTTCTACTGACACTTAGGTCACACTACACATACATGTACAAGCATATACATACACACACCCCTCTGGGTTTTCTGTTATTTTCTTTCTAGTTCTTGTTCTTGTTTATTTCGTCTTATCTCCATGGGGAAGTGGAACAGAATTCTTCCTCCGTAAGCCATGCGTGTTGTAAGAGGCGACTTAAATGCCGGGAGCAAGGGGCTAGTAACCCCTTCTTCTGTATAAATTACTAAATTTAAAAAGAGAAACTTTTGTTTTTCTTTTTGGGCCACCCTGCCTTGGTGGGATACGGCCGGTTTGTTGAAAGAAGAAGAAGACTTTTTTGTATCATGGAACAGGTGGGGCATGAACCCATGACCAGTGTGTCAACCACACAGCCCCTGAGTGTTAGGGCTCACTTGCCATGGGTTTAAGCTCTTCTTTGATTTGTTTACAATTGTGTTATTAGTTTCATGAGACTTGTATGTATCTTTACCAAACATTTAAAGCATCTTCAAGGATACACAGACTACAGTAAGGCAACATGAAACTTTGGCAGAAGTCTTCCAAATGCTGAGTTGGTAAATTTAATACTAAAATAGTAATTTTTCATTTACTGAGGAAGAATAATGTGCTAAGTCATGAATAAAAATGTATAGAGTAAGGTGCCAGTGAACATGAACAAGTGCGAAGACTTAGTGTAAAACAGTAAAACAAGGAATAGTGAGATATGAGAACAAAAATAACTGTATAAAAGGACTGTGCAAACAATAATGAAGATGAACAAACTGCTAACTGGTGTTGCACTGTGCAAGCAGCCTAAAGAAACTTAGTTGAAAGAGCAATCAAGACCAACGGATCGTTGCTCTTTCACTTTGCACAGCATTGCTCCAGCAGCTTCATTTATTCCGTAACTTTGTTTTGTGGCACAGGAATTTATGATTCATTTAATTTTTTGACTTGCTGATGAAGTTTCATTAGCTCAGTTTGTTGACATGGTACTAGATTGTCAAAGTAAGAAAAGTTCAACACTTATCATCATATTTGTAAATGCTGAAAGATGGATGTTTGATAGTTGTGGGAATAGGCAAATATATTCTGCATGTCAAATTTTAAATGAGATTATTAACTCTATTTCAGGAGCCAACAATTTGAAGTATTTTATTGGGTATCTCATAATGCTGTGTGCAATGAGCTGTGTTGTGGTGCAAGGCTGTTTCTACTTTTGGAATGGTGCTTGCAACATTTACTTCTCAAAACAGGGAATCTGGTCCAGTAAGTTTGGAATGTATTTAGTTATATTAGTGCAGTATGTAAATTTTGTATAAATTAAGCTGAAAAGTAATTAAAATATATATGGTAACTCTTTGGTAAAATGAAAGTAGTAGACTGAGTTATTTAGAATTTAGATCTATCTGCTCATTTGTTTATTTTCAATCAATTAGTGGAATAAAATCTCAAATGCTAATTAGGGGGTAGTCAGATTACAACTAACAGAGTGAAGTACTGTACTATGACCAGTGTATAGTAAGGTACATATTCCTGTAATTGTCTCTAGTTATATTAGGAGAATCTTTAGGAAAATTTAATCAGTTTTCTTAAGAGATGGATATTTGTGGCATTTCATCAGTGCAGCTAATTAGAGATAGCCTGCATTGGCTGCAAAGAATAGCTAAATACATTTTTCTACCATGCTAGCTTTCCATAGAATTCAAATAGGTTCTTGTTCTTACATTATCTTTAGGTGATATCAGATAAAAAGATAAGCCATATAACCCATCATTCTTTTTGTGACATGAAATCTCTTAAGTTTTATTTTTTCTTGAATTATTTACTGTTTTTTTAGAAGAAAATAACTTCAGCAATACTGCAAAGCAGTGTTTTCTTAATTACTTATGTAGCATTTTTACTATTGATCAAATAATAATAATAAAATCCATCCATGCCCTGTGGTATGCCATGATAAATAACTTAGACAATGTTTATTTGGAAAATTGTGTTGAAGATAAAAATTATCATCGACTACACATTGGTTCAACTGATGGTCAGCATGTCGGTATCAAAACATTAAGGACCCATAGTCTGTATCATGCCCCCTTAAGGTCGAGGGTACCCATAGAGAGTCTGTATCATGCCCCTTAAGTGATAGAGGGCCTTAATTCTGGTGTAGAACTGCCTGATTCGGGAAGTTTAGCCGCTTTCTAATTCCTTGAATCGAGCCTGATTGCTTCCTTTCTTCCGTCTCTGTATGTCTAAGTGGGTTCACTGCTTCCTGTGTATATAAGAGTTAGTGTATATCATGGTATCTTTAAAAATATATGTTGTATACAGAGAAAGAATTCTTCTGATAGTAGAGCATTGATTATCGGGTAATCTTTTTACATTAATATTTTCCAGTATTTTTTTTTTTTTTTGTAAGCCTCCTAAACAGATAATGGGGCAAAGGGAATGTGCAAGCTATAGGAATATTAAAATCTGATGTACCTTCCTTGGTGTTCCAAATTGAGGATTTTTTTATTTTTAACCTTTTAACTGTGTCCAATATACTAGTATCTTATACTTATCACTTTATGTCACATTCACACATACATGTACACATTTATTTTATACACAACATCTGAGTTTTCTTTGATTTTATCTTAATAGTTCTTGGTCTTATTAATTTTCCTTTTATATCCATGGGGAAGTGGAATTAGAATCTTTCCTCCGTACGCCATGCGTGCTTGTAAAAGTCAACTAATATGCCGGGACAATGGGCTAGTAACCCCTTTTCCTGTAAAGATTACTAAAAAGAATAAGAAGAAGAAAATTGTCAAAAGTGGGAAGTCTGAATGTGCGTGGATGTTGTGCAGATGAATAAGAAAGGAGATGATTGTGGATGTTATGAATGAAGAAGAAGCTGGATGTCCTGGCTTTTAAGTGAAACAAAGCTGAAAGGGGGGGTGGGAGAGTTTAGTGGAAGAGGAATAAATGGGATTAGGTCAGGGGTTTTCAAATAGAGTTAGAGCTAAAGAAGAGTAGCAATAATGTTGAAGGGATAAGCTATTTATGGCAGGGAAAGGGACTATAAATGTGTAAATTCAAGGATTATGTGGAGTAAAATAAAGATTGGATGTGGAAAAGGGGGTTATAATAAGCGTTGTATGCACCTGGAGAAGAGAGAAGGGTAGAAGGAGGAGAGAGAGGATTTTGGGGAAATGTTGAGTGAATTGCGTGGGGAGTTTTGGAATCAAGTGTGGAGAGTAATGGTGGTTGTGGGGGGGATTTTCAATGCTAAAGTGGGTAAAAATCGTTATGGAAGGAGTAGAGGTAAATTTTGGGGTGCCAGGGGTAAATGTAATGGGGAGCCTTTAATGAGCTATGTGTGAAAGAAAAATTTGGTAAATAAGTAATACATATTTTTATGAAAAAGAGGATAAATAAATATACAAGGTATGATGTAGCACGTACATGAAGTAGTTTATTAGATTATGTATTGCTGTGGACAAAGGTTGTATGGGTAGGTTCCCCCCAGGGGATGTACATGTTTATAGTAGGGGCAACTGAATATATACGGACCCATATTTAGTTGTAGTACAGTTAGATAAGAGGTAGTGGGAAAGAGGAAGGTGGCAACAAAAAGTAAGAGGGAGGTGAAAGTGTATAAAACTAGGGAGGAGGAAGTTCGGTGTGAGATATAAGAGACTATTGGCAGAAAGGTGGGCTTAGTGCAAAAGATGAGTAGTGGGGGGGTTGAAGCAGGGTTGGATAGTTTTAAAAATGCAGTTTAGAATGTGGGCAGAAAGTTTGTGGTTATAGGATGGTGGGGGCAGGAGGAAAGGAAAGAGGAGTGATTGGTGGAATGAGTGAAGTAAAGGGTGTGATAAAAGAGGAAAAAGTAGCGTAGAGAGGTTTTTACAAAGAGAAGGTTATTAAGAAGAGCAGAGTATATGGAGAGTAAAAGAAAGGTTAAAGAGAGTGGTGTTGAGAGAGTGCAAAAGGAAGCAGATGATTAGAGTGGAGGAGAGGCACTGTCAATGAAATTTACTTAATGAAAATAAGAAAAAATTTTTTGGAGTGAGTTAAACAAGTTAAGAAAGCCTAGGGAAAAATATGGGACTTTGTCAGTTAAAAAACAGAAGTAGGGGAGTTAGTAGATGGGGAGGATGGAGTATTGGGTAGATGGGAGAATATTTTGAGGAACTTTTAAATGTTATAAGGAAGAAACAGAGGCAGTAATTTCATGCATGGTCAGGGAGGTAGACCATCTTTTAGGAGTGAAGAAAGCAGAAATGTAAGTGTGGGTGGGAGGTACGTGAGGCAATACGTAAAATGAAAAGGGGGGTGTGTAATGGTGGGTGGTAAAGCAGCTGGAAACTGATGGGGATCATGACAGAAATGTTAAAAAGCAAGGGGGGAGATATGTGTTGGGGGAAGGTGGTTGGTACTTTTGTTTAATAAATGTATGAATGAGGGGAAGTTACTAGGGCATTGGCAGAGAGAAGTATAGTCCTTTATATAAAGGGACAAGGGGGACAAAAGAGACTGTAAAAAAATTATAGAGGAAATAAGCTTATTAGTATACCAGGAAAAGTGTACGGTTAGTATAGGGTTATAATTGAAAGAATTAGAGGTAAGAAGGAATGTAGGATTTGCGGATGAGCAAGGGGTTTTAGAGTGGGTAGGGGATGTGTAGATCAGGTGTTTACATTGAAGCATATATGTGAACAGTATTAGATAAAGATAGGGAAGTTTTTATTGCATTATGGAATTTAGAAAAGGCATATGATTAGAGTGGATAGAGGAGCAATGTGGCAGATGTTGGAAGTATATGGACATAGGTGGTAAGTTATTAAAATGCTGTTTTAAGAGTTTTTATGGGATGATGAGGATCAGGTTTGGGTGTGTGTAGAAGAGAGGGAGGAGACTACTTTCCGTAAAAGTAGGTCTTAGACAGGGATGTGTAATGTCACCATGGTTGTTTAATATATTTATAGATGGGGTTTGTAAAGGTAAGTTAAATGATAGGGTGTTTGGGGAGAGGGGTGGGATTAAATTATGGGGAATCAAATTCAAAATGGGAATTGATCACAGTTCTTTTTGCTGTGATTACTGTGCTTTTTGGGAGATTCTAAAGAAAATTGCAAAGGTTAGTGGATGAGTTTGGCGAATGTGGTGTAAAGGTAGAAAGTTGAAAGTGAACATAGAATGAGTAGGTGATGAGGGTTGTCAAATGATTTGGATAAAGAAAAATTGGATATCAAATGGGGAGGGAGGAGTTGGAAGAAGTGAATGTTTTCAGATACTTGGGAGTTGACGTGTCGGCGGATGGTTTATATGGATGAGGTTAATCATAGAATTGAATGAGGGAAAAAAAGGTGAGTGGTGCGTTGTGGTATATGTGGAGTCAAAAAACGTTTCTTTGGAGGCAAAGAAGGAGTATGTATGAAAGTATAGTAGTACCAACACTCATATATGGGGGAAAGTTGGGTGGTAATGCAGCAGCGAGGAGGAGTCGGTTGGAGGAGTGGAGATGTCCTGTTATAGGGCAATGCTGTGGTGTAAATATTATGCAGAAAATTCGGAGTTGTGGAAATTAGGAGAAGGTGTGGGAGTTAATAAAAGTATTTGTCAGAGGGCAGAGGGAGGGGTTGTTGAGGTGGTTTGGTCATTTAGAGAGAATGGATCTAAGTAGAAGACTGGAAAGCCATATAAACTATAGGTGAGGAAGGGCGGGGTAGGGGTCGTCCTCGAAAGGGTTGGAGAGAGGGGGTAAAGAGTGTTTTGTGGGTAAGGGGCTTGGACTTCCAGCAAGCCGTGCTGTGAGCGTGTTAGATAGGAGTGAATGGAGACGAATGGTATGGGACCTGACGATCTGTTGGAGAGTGAGCAGGGTAATATTTAGTTGAGAGGATTTCAGGGGAAACCGGTTATTTTCATTATAGTCGGACTTGAGTCCTGGAAAGGGGAAGGGTACAATGCCGCCTTTAAAGGGGGGGTTTGGGGAAATATTGGCAGTTTGGAGGGAATGTTGTGTTTTTTTAATTTTTTGTTTGTTTCTGACTTTTGTATTCTGGCACCTCTGCAAAAACAGTGATAATGTGGGGAGTGGGGTTTTGAAAGTTTTGGGAATGATGATAAAAAAGTATTTTTTTTGGGGATTTTCTTTCTTTTTTGGGTCCCCCTCCCTCGGTGGGAGAGGGCCCCGGACTTTTTTAAAAAAAAAAAAAAAAAAAAAAAAAAAAAAAACAAATGCCCCCATTGTGTGCTAAAATACTAGTATGCACAAGTTTTGT